CTGAATTGTTATTATTCAGGAGCACGCGGTCTTCGAGGAGCTGCTGGACTGGCCGGGATCCCAGGACGAAGCGGAAATCCAGGATCACCAGGTTTGTTCAACAAAGCACTGCTTGGAAGAACATCTTTTTGGATGCAGCTAAGCCATCTCGAAAAGAAATAGCGCGTGAAACTTATTTGAGGTCGAGAAAATCACCGTTGAACTTGCCCATTACCGTACTTTTCTTGAGAGGACGGTTCTCGAGTACGGTAGTGGGCGAGCGTTCAGAATTTAGCTTCTCGGACACAAATGAGCCTTTAAGGTGTTTGAGCAAGTCAAAAGAGCTCTTTTAAATATTTTAGGTGCCATGGGAGCTGAAGGACCACCGGGAGCAGATGGTGAGCTTGGACCTGCTGGAGTTCCGGGAATGGATGGAATAAAGGGAAAAGGAAAACGTGGTGCTAAGGTAAAGAATCTATTCGAACTGCGGACTACTCAAACAGAGAATTTCTAGGGAACCCAAGGTCATGTGGGTGAAATGGGTGAGAGAGGCGATCGTGGAGAAGATGGAAAGGATGGTGACGCTGGAGCGGCTGGTACCTCTGGACCCCGAGGTGAACCGGGTAGACCTGGTTTGAATGGTGAACCTGGTGCTCCTGGAGCTGAAGGTGAACCTGGTGGGTGATTTTTCTGGTTTCGATTTTTTGGTCAAAGTTCTGAAGTTTGGCTTTTACCAAAAGTACGATATGTCTTTGGATTGATGATTTTCGAGCAGTTTATCGTAAAATAAGGGACGGATTGCCTTTTTGTTTCTGCATCTTTCAACAAATAAAAAGAATGTGTTTTTTGTGAGAAATGATAAAATCAACAATGTAAATGTTCCATTTAGGACAAGACGGAGAGTACTGTCCATGCCCAAGACATATGTTCCGTGATTCGAATCCAATGAATAGAATCTTATAACTCCTGCTTGTTATTTACTTAACTCTAATGTGCTGTTATTTCCTAATAATAAATGGTTGTCAATTTTGAGATCATTCTTTTAAAGCATGGGCAACACTAATGTTTAATTCAAACTTCAAAAGATGTTGAAAGACGGTGAACAATATCGCCTAATAACTTGACCATGGATTTTTAATTATTTAGCATCCACCGAAACTCTAGCCCTCAAAATCCTTTTTGGGTCTTTTCCGTGGCCCTGATTAAGTTATGAAGTGCGAAATGTGCACCACAACCAACAAGCTCGATTTCTGGAGACATTATTTGGAGTGCACAGACGACTTTTAGTAGTTTTGTGGACGGAGCTCAATAATGTGGGCGTGGTTTGATAGCACTTCCGCGGGCTTTAGGTCCATTTGTTT